TCAAACTGTCATTCCCGGCATAGTAGATCATATGGTTGTCTGATTCAAAATGGCCAAAACCAGTCCATTTCAGCTAACTAATGCCGAGGATATCAATCTTTATGTGTTCCATTTAATAAATAGTAGCTGCTAAATCAGAATCCTTTTGGAGACTCTGACTTCCACTTCCACAGCCGGAGGACAAGGATGGCGAAAATTACCATTCAAATATTGGGCCTGGCAGAGACTACAAATCAATCACAACACTCTTTCCCAGCAAGCCTACATCTCCTCACAATCTTTCCTGACCCAACCTAAGGAGCAAGATGAAACCTGCATCTATCCCTGCCTTAAAGGACTGCTCTCTATCTTTTATAGCTATGGCCTAAAGACGGATATAGAGACCTTATAGGACAGAGTACAACTGCCCTATAGGGTTTCCAAGGCTGAAATCCTTACGGAAGCAGACTGCCACATCTTTCTCCCACTGAGCAGTTGGTGGGTTCAAACTGCCAACATGCAGGTTGGCAGCTGGGCACTTTAACTGCTGCAACACCAGGGCTCCTCCGAATCCACAGGGTCACTATGAGTCAGAATCAACTCGATGGCAATGGATTTGGCTGTTTTTTTAAGGTTGGACAAAAGTCCCTTTTCCAGGCTCCTAACCACTTCCTGGTTCATGACTTGAATTGGTGCCAGCTATCCTGAGGTGAGAAGGTGGTTGCAAAGTGATCAGAAAGGACCCTCCAGGCCATCTAGCCTGGGTCACACTCAGCTCTTTGCAACCAGAGGTGTAGACAGGCTCTACCTGAGGGCCTAGGCCCATTCCTGCACTTGGGAACATTCTGACTAGAACAGGGTATAATGATAATAATGACAACACCAGCCATAACCATTGGTTAAGTGCTATCTGCCAAACACTGTGATAGGAAGGTTATATGCATTTCTCATCTAATCCTCATTGTATGCTGTGACCATTTCACAGATGAAAATGCTGAAGCTCAGAGAGTAAAGTAACTTGTTCATTTAACACCTGCTTAATTTCCAGTCAGCTATGCTGTGTCCCATCCCTACCATCTGGGCACACCACCTCAGTGAGCAGCTAGCAGTGGTCTAGAGTGCTGGAGCCAGCCCCACCCCCAGGGGTCTGATCAGCTGTCTCCTTCCACTTCCTCTCTGGGCCCATCCTTTGGTAGGGATGCTGCCTTGTTCCCCACTCTGCAGCCACCCACTAACGCCAACTCATAACCTGCCCATGGCTCAAATCTTAGTGATCCCAGATTTGGATTACCAAAACCAAACCAAACCCACTCCCGTCGAGTCGTATCTGACTCATAGCGACCCCTCCTTGGGTTTCCGAGGCAGTATCTCTACCGAAGTAGATTGCCCAATCTTCCTTCCAAAGAATGGCTGGTGAGTTTGAACTGCTAGCCTGATTAGCAGTCAAAAGCCTTAGGCACTACGCTATGGGGAGCTCATTGGATTACTAAAGGAGGCCATCTTCTTGGAGAGGACTCAGGTTGATCTGAGAGTCCAGGACAGCCCCCAGGGCAGAGTTCTTTTCTCCTCCTTGGGGCTGCAAACCCTCCTCTTGCCAGAGAAAGGGTGTGTCAGCCCACAGGATTACTGGACAGAGCAAGCACTGTCTCCCATCCCCCATCCTCGGCAAAGCATCTGACACAGGGACCATGATTTGTGAAGGCGCATCCCCATTTTCCTAAAAAGGTTCTCCTTTTCATCTCATCCAGAGACCTGGAGATCATCTAGACTCTTGTCAGAAGGGTAGCTGTCTAGGTGCTGAGGTGTGGAGGCCATGACCCTGAGAAAGGTGCCAAGGGTAAGCTGACCAATGAGGGCTGATGGGAGGCTGGTATGCCAGGTGAACACACAGACTGGTATAACATGAGCTCCTGAGTGTGTTAGGTGCTGACTCTGGGGTTGAAGGGACAGTGAGTAGGCAGGCAACAAATGACAGGGAGACAGGAGTGTGAGACTCAGCTTGTCAGTCTTCTTAGCCACACGGGTCCCTTGTGACCTGAGCAGAGACTGGTTCAGAGTGAAGAACTTGAAGTCTGAGTAGTAGCCTCCTGGCTGTCGGATCGGGAGCACCTGGTCTTTCAAGAAAATGATCTTGTCTCCCGGGTACAGCAGGGCTGTCAGCAGCAAAAGAAACATGGCTCATTAGCCCCAGACCTCTCTTCCCCTCCTTGTCCCCCCGCCCCAAGTTCAGGAGTCTCTGCCTTTGGGGGTTAACCAGCTGCCACTGATTGAACTCTGACACATGTCTACCTCATGTATGTCAGAGTACAACTGTGCTCCACAGGGTTTTCCTTCTTTTTTAAAATTTATTTGTTGTTGTTATTGAGAATATACACAGCAGAACACACATCAGTTCAACAATTTCTACATGTACAAATCAATAACATCGATTACATTCTCACCCTCCTTTTCTGAATTGTTCCTCTTCCATTAGCATAAACTCATTGTCCCCTCAGTTTCCTATCTAATCTTTTGAGTTGCTGTTGTCAGTATGATCCTATATGTGTTATGTGCCATCCAGTCAGACCCAACTCATAGCGACCCTTCCTTGGGTTTCCAAGGCAGTATCACTACGGAAGTAGATAGCCCAATCTTCCTTCCAAGCAGTGGCTGATGGGTTTGAACCGCCAGCCTTCTGGTTAGCAGTCAAGTGCTTTAGGCGCTATGCTACCAAATCCCACATAGATATTTCTATATAGATAGCTCTTAAAAGAGTACAATGCTCAAAGCAGACATTCTTTACTAATTAAGCTAAACTACTGCTTGGTTCAAAGAATACTCCAGAGGATAATTTTCATTTAGGTTTAAAGATTATCTCAGTACTGAAAAAAAAAAAAAAGGTGGGGACCAGGTTTGCTGATCCAATAGAGCCTGGTGGAACCACTGAGACTATGGCCCCTAGCTGCCCTTCAGGTCTGGAATTGAACCCACACCTGTGGTTTCCAGCCAAACAAAAGACAGGCATATGCGTTGAACATTTACCTCAAGTAGATACATTCCTTGGAGAGAACAATCATGGGAGAAAGAAGGGCTGCTTATGCACAGGGAGACAGCTCAGGGGGCAGGAGTGTATGGAGGGAGGAAGTGGGAGGGGAGCTGTTGCATTGTGGTAAACTGTGGTCAATGACATAAGACAAAGTATATGTGAACTGCTGTATGGAAAGTAAATTTGCTCTGTAAATCTTCACCCAAATCACAATTAAAAAAAAAAAAAAAGATTATCTCAGTACTGTGTTGTCAGTGAAGGCAAACATGAGTATACGGGTGGATAGATGGGTGGACAGGCTGAATAATTAGGTATGTCTATGAAATGGGGAGTGTATGCAAGAACATGTATTTGTTGTTGTTGTTATGTGCCATCGAGTCGGACCCGACTCATAGCGACCCCTCCTTGGGTTTCCGAGGCAGTATCACTACGGAAGTAGATTGCCCCATCTTCCTTCCGAGGAGTGGCTGGTGGGTCTGAACCACCAGCCTTCTGGTTAGCAGTCAAGTGCCTTAAGCACTATGCTACCAGAGCTCCCAGAACATGTACAGGGTTGGCAGATTATGGTCCTATAAGTTTATGTGAATGATCAGAATTCCCAGATGTACAGTAGAGCTGACAAGGGGCAAGGTTGTGGTCACTGCTTGGTCACAGCCAGCTACCCAGAGGGACTGAGTAGTTGAACCTGTGGGCTTGGGACCACAGTCACAGGGGACATCAAGCTCAATTGGCATAACATACTATACAAAACATTGTTCCACCTCCTACTTTGGCAAATAGCGACTGGGATCTTAAAAGCTAGTAAGCTGCCATCTAGATGCAACGATGGGTCTCTCCTCGTCTAGAGCAAAGAAGAATGAAGAAAACCAAAATTCATGGAAACAATTAGTCCTAGTGACTGGTACACCATCTGATCTGCAGCCTATACAACTTTGAGACCAGAAGAACGAGATGGTGCCCGGCTACCACTGTCATCCACTTGGGATTCTAGTCTCCAGAACTATGAGAAGATAAATTTATGTTGTTTAAAACTACCCACTTGTGGTGTTTCTATTATGGCAGCAATAGAAAACTGTTGTTGTTGTTATGTGCCCTCAAGTCGGACCCGACTCATAGTGACCCCTCCTTGAGTTTCTGAGGCAGTATCACTATGGAAGTAGATTGCCCAACCTTCCTTCGGAGGAGTGGAACCACCAGCCTTCTAGTTAGCAGTCAAGTGCCTTAGGCACTACGCTACCAGAGCTCCTAATAGAAAACTAGGACAGCATAGCATATAACTGTGGCACAACAGCAAAACCAGGCAACTGATGTTGGTGTGATACTGTCAACTAGAAGACAGATGAGAGAGGCATATGGGTAATTAGGTCAACAAAGGACCCCAAGCCTGGACACAAGGCTATGTCTGCCTCTCTGCGGTCATGAGGATAAAGCACAGGGAGCCCTGCCCTGCTCTGTAGAGGGCCCTGGTTAATTTAGGGATCCCAGGAGGAAGTAGGAGGATTCAATTAAGGCTGCACTTAGACTTGTTATGGCAGTTTTCTCTGTTCTGAATTGTTCTCACAGAGACCCTTGCGAGAGTTTTCTAAGAAATGTAGGACAGGAGAAAGACCAGGCCAGAGCCCCTACCTTCCTACAGTTATTGGGCAATGTTCATCCTAAGATGTCAACACATGAACTATCTCCTGTTCTAAAAGCAGTGCTAGAAGGTTACACTCCAGGTTATTAATATCAGTTACCTGAGGTGGGAGTGGGAGAAAGATGAAGCAGGCTGCTTCTATAAAGATTTACAGCTTTGGAAACCCTCTGGGGGCACTTCTACTATGACCTAAAGGGTTGCTGTGTGTCAGAATAGACTCAATGGCAGTGGGTTTGGTTTTTGGTTCTGAGGTAGGAGAGGGATTGTGCAGCTAAGAAGCAGGGAGAGGGAAGGGCAAGATATGCAACACTGCCATTTTAAAAAAGCTATGCATTTTTTTTTTTTAAAAAAACTACATTGAAAAATATGTAAGTGATTTTTCAAAGTATGATTTTTAAGTGATTTTATTTACATAAGATTATATAAATGGAAAGGAAAAAAGGAGGATGCTGTGGATTCAATTGTGTCCCCTCAAAACAGGTGAAGTTTTAACCTCGTACTTGTGAATTCAATCATGTTTGGAAATAAGGGGTTTCTTTTGTTATGTTAAGGAGGTCATATTAGAGAAGGGTGGGTCCTAAACCTAATCCCTTTGGAGTGGTGTCTGATAAAGGGGAGTCTAGACACAGACAGACACTGGAGAGGTGTGTGTGTGAAACATGAAAACAAAGGTAGACATATCTATAAGCAGTAAAGGAATGCCAAGGATTCCAGCAACCATCAGAAACTAGGAGAGAGGCCCACAGAAGGAATCAACACAGCTGAGACCCTACTTTGGACTTTTACCCTCTACAACGGTGAGAAAACAAATTCCTGTTCTTGAAACTCAAACCAAACCAAACTCACTGCCATCGAGTTGGATCCAACTCATAGCAACCCCTCCTTGGGTTTCTGAGGTGGTATCGCTACAGAAGTAGATTGCCCAACCTTCCTTCTGAGGAGTGGCTGGTGGATTTGAACCAACAGTCTTCTGGTTAGCAGTCACATACCTTAGGCACTACACCACCAGACCACCCATTTATGGTATTTTTTTTGCTACAGCAGCACTAAGAGCACTAAGATGGTCACCAAAGTGCTACTGATGGTCAATTAGGGTAGGGGGAGTTCTATTTTTATGCTTTCAAAAACTCTGAAATGAGCAAATACCTATAAAATGAGAAACAATAATTCTATATTCACTGGAGGTGGAGGAATACCTCGATATTCTAGAATACTGGCCCATGAGCTTGGGGCCCAGGGTCTGGGCTCAGCAAGCTCTAGGGTAGAACCCAGACTAGAAAGCCAGGCTGTTTAAACTTCCTTACACACAGCACATCAGGACTCCTGTCATAAAGACGCCCAACAAATCTTGGCAAGACAGTGGTAAGGGCTGAGCTGGAGTCTAGTTTACCTAGACCAATCAGAAGCAAAGTATGCCTACCCAGGAGATGGTTCTGGGTGATGTGAATGCAGATCCTGAAGACCGGGGAAGCTCTCCAACATAGTGACCCAAGACATAGCAACAGCCAGCAGTCAAAAGACTCAACAGTGGCCAGTGCTCTGAAGGGGTCAGACGGTGGCAAGGCAGAGGAAGACCTACCCAGAGGAGCAGTCCAGGGCATACGACAGGCTTGCCTGGATTTTAGAAGCTCCATCACAAGACCAGGTGATGTAAATGGTCAGGAAGGATAAGGCCCCAAGGAAGGAGGAAGGAAAGATGATTTGGGTAAAGCCAGTGTCTAGAGTCGCAGGATCTCCTCCTCTCTCTGCCTTCACAGAGATGGCCAACAGCCCAGTGGGTTTCTCAGTGGTGGAGGAGGCCACCAAGCAAGGCGTTGTTTGCCAATGGAAGGGCATGCCACATTTGCAGGCTACAGTGGTGGTTTCCCTGTGTTCTTGAAGGCTCTGCTACATTCCCCTTTATAGACTTAAAGCCCTATACATCTAAGACTTGTTTCCCTCCCTCTTGGGGAAAAGGTAAAAATTATCAATCATGATTGTTAACTCTTGTTCTCAGGAAAGCTACACTTCCCAGGATAGCCACAGTCCCTTCCTGCAAGGTTCCCATGGGAAAACCTCTGCCCAGAGTACAGCTTGCTCTTCAGTGTTTTTAAAGTTCAGAGAGGGAGCTGCCCATTAAATTCAGGGGAGGTCACAGATAGCAGCAGTGCTGGGTAGTCACCAGAGTGGCAGGCACTCCCCACACATCCTGCCTAAAGATGTGGAAGGACAGATCTGTTCAGCTATAAGGAAACATGTCTTACCCCAAGTGGAGGTGCAACCAGTGTGGAAATATCAGGGCTGAGGGCCATTGTTTGAGCAGAGAGCAAAGGGCCTCAGGGACCTGTGTCCTGGTGTTCTAGCCTTCCTATTTCATTGCTCACTGCAGCCCTGGGAAGTGGGCCTGGCCTAGAGAGGTGGTTTTGTAAACACTCAATGCATCATAAACCAGTCAGCACTGATTCATGGCTACCCCACATAGAGTAGAACTGTGGTTCATATGGTTTTCAATGGCTGATTTTTCTGAAGTAGATCACTAGGCCTTACTACTGAGGTGCCTCTGGGTGGGTTTGAACCACCAAATTTTTGGTTAGAAGGCACATCCGTTAAACGCTTGCACCACTTGTTGTTGTTGTTTGTTGTTTATGTGCCATCGAGTCGGCCCCGACTCATAGCAACCCCTCCTTGGGTTTCCGAGGCAGTATCACTACAGAAGTAGGATTGCCCAACCTTCCTTCC